TGTGTGTGTGTGTGTTGTGTGTGTGTGTGTGTGTGTGTGTGTGTGTGTGTGTGTGTGTGTGTGTGTGTGTGTGTGTGTGTGTGTGTGTGTGAGTGTGTGTGTGTGTGTATGTGTGTATGTGTGTATGTGTGTGTGTATGTGTGTGTGTGTGTGTGTGTGTGTGTGTGTGTGTGTGTGTGTGTGTGTGTGTGTGTGTGTGTGTGTGTGTGTGTGTGTGTGTGTGTGTGTGTGTGTGTGTGTGTGTGTGTGTGTGTGTATTATATGTACATGTGTATATATATGTATATGTGTATATATATGTGTGTGTGTGTGTGTGTGTGTGTGTGTGTGTGTGTGTGTGTGTGTGTGTGTGTGTGTGTGTGTGTGTGTGTGTGTGTGTGTGTGTGTGTGTGTGTGTGTGTGTGTGTGTGTGTGTGTGTGTGTATGTGTATGTGTATGTGTATGTGTATGTGTATGTGTATGTGTATGTGTATGTGTGTATATATATATATATATATATATATATATATATATATATATATATAATATATATATATATATTATATATATCATAAGACAATTTTTTTCATGAAATGAGCAATACCTTATTTGTCACAGTGCAAAAAATGAGCCTAGTATAGCAAAGACATTAGTGCATCATAAATTATAGTTTATCTCTTGTGCATCCAATACCTAATCACTTTTACTAAGTTTCTTTTTTTCAATTTCCTTTCAAAAATGTATAAATCTTTTTGACTTCTTGCTGAACATGGCAATACAGTCTAAGTAGAGAAAGAGAGAGAAAGACAGACAATTAATAATAAAACAAAAAAGTAAAAAAAAAGGTGAACATTAAAATGCAAATACAAATACATTCTGGCAAGCAAACCTCAATAATACTTTTTTTAAAATCTAAAACACACAAGCACATGACATTCATCAAGACATATTGCTTTTATTGCTTTACAAAATATCCTGAAAACACAAACTCCGCTGATGTCTGAAGCAAAAAAAAAAACCTTGGCAGAGATGCTTGCCAAAAACCATTAAATTTAATAAATGTCGTTCAATTTAATCAATCTATTTACATGTGCAAAAAGCATTAGCGTCAACTATTCGGAAGACTACCCATAAAAGCTTGAATGAAAAATGTATCAATAAAACATCGATAGCAATCCTATCAACATTCAAACATTTGCATATTATATGCAACAACCACTATACATATATATAAAGCTTTACTGATTGTTTCCCTAAAATATAATATTTAGTCATTACTAAAACTCTCAAATTTCTAAAACTGCTTTAAAAAATTAATACAAAAAGAAAGAAAAGGTGTATATTTTTTAACATTTAAACACTAATCAACTATCACTTTATTTTGTATATCTGATGAAAATCACAAAAACTGAATAATCATAATTTTTCCCTTATAGTCCTACGTGCAAAAATAGTTAACAATTAGAAGAAACCTCTCCACATGCACAACACATGAAATAAAAACTTGGAGATTAGCTCAAATGCTTTGGAACAACAGAGATCAAGATTGACAGTAATGATATTGATCAAACAACTGGAAAAAATATGCCTTTTACTTTTATATATCTAAATCAAAGCTACCTTAAAATAAGGTAAGGTATTAGTAATGACTTTGGAAATTGTAAGTTTTATCTTACTTTTGATTATTATACTATAAAAAGAAAGGAGTGAAAATGGGAGAGGGAGAGAGAGAGGAGAGGTTGAGAGGAGAAAGTTAAGAGAGAGGAGAGAGAGAAGAGAGATGAGAGAGAGAAGAGAGATGAGAGAGATGAGAGAGAGAAGAGAGAGAAGAGAGAGAAGAGAGAGAAGAGAGAGAAGAGAGAGAGAAGAGTGAGGAGAGAGAGGAGAGAGAGAGAATTCTCCCATTTTTGGAAATCCGTAAAAACTCTCAGACAACTTAAATCACCATGTGAAAATTCTATATATTTCATACTATTAAAAATATGCTCAATTTATGGCAAAATTATAAACACTGATACGTGAATAATGCTTACAACAATAAAATAAATCTACTGGCATACAGGGGCTCATAAATGTTTACTAAGAATTATATTATTGAACATTTTAAAAGGTGGAGAAATTAGCAACAAACAAAATCACAAAGATTGATTATTAGAAAAATGGGACATTTTCTAATAAACTTGTTTTCTCTGTGGTCTATTTACAACCATGATATCACCATGGTGGTGTTTTTGTCATTCATTATCATGAACTGAAACAAAAAATAATCATTTCTTTGTCTTACATTAATACCAAGAAGCATATCAAGTCTTATTACAAAAGGGAGTTATTTTTATATCAAAATGCAAATGCTTTTTTGTTAGACAAATTTCGGCAAGAGAAATTTGGCTAGATAAGTGATTTAGAGATTTTGCTACATGAAGAAAATCATTAGTGAGTGTATCACATCTTTGCATAATATATATATATTTTTTTTCATTTATATAAACCTGAGAAAAAAAAAAAAAATGTAATTACCTCACCTGAAAAAAAACATACATATGTAAAAAATAAGGAATGCTTTTTCTAGCCTTATTCTATGCATTCAAAATAAAAAATACACAAGATATAAAATTAGAAAAGGGAAAACTGGAGTAATCAAAACCTTTAAATGATAACAGATACATACGAATGACTATCATGAATTTTTGGTATGAATCAAATAATGCCCGCAAAAGGAACATAGCAAATATAAGCAAATAGGTTGCTTTACATTCTATTATGACTATAAGAAAGAGCAAAATTAATTCTAAATTTGTGAAATACCTTTTTGTACAAGTATGCAATATGTGACAATTTTGACTCTTTCATAAAGAAAATAATATAAAACATACATTCATGCATACATACATTTTATATACATATTAATAAATAAATAAATAAATAAATAGATAAATAAATAAATAAATAGATAAATAAATAAATAAATAAATAAATACATATATATATATATATATATATATATATATATATATATATAATATATATATAATTATATATATATATATATAATATATTATATATATATATATATATACACACACATTAATAATTCTATAGTAACATAACAAAATACACAACCTGCTCATTTTGAATACAATCTGCACCACTAACAAAATTACAGTCAGGAAAATAGCAATTGCTATAAAATGAAAGTGTGAAAGTTAAAAATTATATAAATAATTAAAGAGAAAACTACAAGAAATAAATCATATTAATATATTTTTGTTTACATCTCATAAAATGCAAAGACAATTTCTTAAAAATAAAAACCAGCCACTCATGACAAGACTTTTTTCTACGTAGAGCATGTTTTGCTTATATGCCGTGCGAGCAGGCAAAATGGAGATAGCAACTGTCATACAATATACTTCCTTTGTGACAAGGAGTTTGCATTGTCTGTCTAGAGATCACTCTCTTTGAGAGATTATAATGGTAAAATAAATACTGGGGAAAAGTTGTATATTTTTGGAATACTGTGAGAATGAATGAATATAACCAAGAAAAACTAAAATAATCTGCTCATACAAAAATGGCACATTCTTCTGGAGGAACATTATGTGTTGCTAACTACACATAAAGTCTTGCTTTGAAATATGCTCCTACTATCCCTCGTGCCATTTAAGATGCAAATAAAAGACTAGCCAGAGAAAATCACAACCTTAAATAAAAATTGAGAAAGAGATAGAAAAAAAGAAAAAGATTTGTGCAAATTACCAGATGTGGAAACCTATCCACACCACAATTCTGACTTTAAAAAACAGACACAAAACAAATACAAAACAAAAATCTATCTTCACCACTCCATGACACCCTTTCTACAGACAGGAGGAAAGGAAGTGCCACCGTTTCAATTAACATCAGACCACAAAGATGTCCTCTTTGTCTTGTCTTTGGTCTGTCTCAGTGTCTCAAGGCCCATCAGCATCTGGATGTTGCCCTGGACAGTCAGATGGCCTGAGAGGTAGGCTTGCAAGGGGGCCAGAGTGCCCTCAAAGATGGCCATCAGGTCCCTCCTTGCTAATAACCACTGCTACATCTGGAGTTACCTTGGGCAAGTCACCCTCCACCACCTGGCCGCACTCCTGGGTGTGGAGAGGGGTGATTACGTTATAAATGTATTGCTCTAGAATTGTGCCTGGGATTTGCTTACAGTTAAGTCAATGGGACTGTGAAATGGGATGGATGTAGACATAACATAACCAAAGTTACAAAAATAATAGTTTTTTTTTTCACCTAATACCCACCTCACTTCAAAAAACAGAAAGAAAGAGAGAGAGAAAAAAACTCAATGATATCAGTAGTCTAATCAAAAAAGAAAAACAATAGAACAAAAATACAGCAAAAAATCAAAATTCGACCTCTGACTCACCATTGCCTAGGAAGATAATGAAGATGCCCGCCGTCCTTGCCCTCAACCTGTAGCCTGTAAATACCATGGGTGAGGTCGTTGCCGCTGGCCCAGAGATCAGGCCCTGTAGGTATTTGCCGAGCTTGGTGTCTGGTGATCGGCTACTTGTCACTGTTTGGGTGAGGAAGAAGAATAGTAATGGGGCATGCGAGTTTATCATGCAGTGGGTTGCATTTGTGGGAAGCAAGAGGGGCAAACAAAAGAAGAAGGGAAGAAAGGACAGGACGGAGGGTGGGAGGGGGAGTGGGAAAGAAAATTAAGAAAGGAATGAGAGGAGAGGGGGAGAGAGAGGGAGAAGGGGGAGAGGGAGAGGGAGAGGGAGAGGGGGAGGGAGGGAGAGGGAAAGGGGGAGGGAGGGAGAGGGAGAGGGGGAGGAGGGAGAGGGAGAGGGGGAGGGAGGGAGAGGGAGAGGGAGAGGGAGGGAGAGGGAGAAGGGGAGGAGGAGAGGGAGAGGGGGAGGGAGGGAGAGGG